CAAAGCTTTGTGTTAACATATTAACATCTTGGGGCCGTATGGAATCTAACCAATAACAGCGAGCACCTCTGCAAAGTCAGCCACAGCAAGGTATGTAAACGTACATTTCAACAAATTTAATTTCAAATTGAAAAAACGTTTCTTTGAAAATAATGTAAAATCGCACACGGAAGAACCGAAAAGATTGAAAAATCATGATACTTTTTTCTTTCGTCTGTCGATTTTAAAACTGGTTCGGAACTATAGAATTTAGGACTAGTTCGAAACTATCGAAAAAGGGATGCAGCGGGGGGCAATTGACACTTCCTAGGACATCGCCATGTTAAATTCGCCAGTTGCTTGCATGCAAAAGAGATTTATCGCGAACCAGTACTGGGTCTAAATGTACTAGAAGCGCCCCAGTTCAGAACTAGAGATTCTCCCCAAAGGGAAGAGCATTAAAACCAACACAATGACAACAGCATGAAAATACATGCACATACAAGCAAACATGGATACCCTGCAGGCAGTGAAGTTAGTTTAAATCTAAGTTTAATCTGTTTATATTTTGTTCAAGAAAAAAGCTAAGCACTTTTGTGGGGCGATGGCCAAAAAAAGTCAGACTTAGATACCCTGCATTAGGTGTCAACCAACTTGTAACTAACTACTTTTCGATCTCCATTTGTTTTTTTTTTGTCCTAAATTCGAAAAGCCATCTGTGAAGTGCAGAAACAAAGTGTATTCAAAGTAATTTTTGTATGAGGGTATTTAAATAAAAACTTGTTAACAGAAAACAAACTAACGATTACGTCTGCATGACTCCTGCGTGAATGTATAGCTCACTTTAAGTTGGTTTTGTCAAAGCTAATTAAAAGTGAGTTATCACTACAATTAGTTATTTTTATCAATTGATAATTTTTCACTGCCGGGTATGTATGTATGTATGTACTTAGGTATGCATATACCCATCTTTACTTAAATGTTTGTATTATTGCATTTAGGTGCGTTGTGCCGTCAAGTGTGATGACGCGTGGTGTGCGAAAAACAAAACGACAAATTCATGCACTTACGCCCAAAACCCTTTGCTATACACACCCGTACAATAAACATACCTACAACATACATTGTGCATGCCCCTGCAAACATGCTTCGTACACTTCTTAGTACTACATAAATACTTGCTGTAGTACAAATTTACTCGCACGTGATTGTTAGCAGGTTGGTGAATGACAACATACTAGCTCACGTGCCGCTGCTGTAGATGCATCCAAGCAAAAGAAAAAAGATATATACATACATACATACATATGTATGTACATCTGTATGGTGGCTACGTTGGAAAATTTATTGGAAGAGTTAGCATAAAAAATCCATATCTCCAACTTGAACTAGTAGCTTCGATAGCTTGGCAGAGATTTTCGCATTAAGCGCAATTGGTGCAGAAGTTATGATTATTTGTTGAGAAGGAAATATGGCAAAAATGGACTTATTTAAATTCACAGAAATGATTGCTAGGCAACAAATTGCGTATATACGCATACATAGGCAGAACTTCATTAGCAAGTGATGATGATATGGGTGAAACGTGTTCTCCTTTTTTCTATGTTGCGGAGTTCTGCCTGCGCTGGCCATGCCTGATGTACCTATATGCAAAAGTAATGGAAGTAAAAATAGGAGAACACGTTTCACCCACATCGTCATCCCCATCTTCATCTCATCTTCATATTAATCTACGCTTTTATATTTTTCTTTGACTTCATCGTTTCCTTTAACTTCGTCTTCTTCTTTTACCGTAGACAAAGGCGGAAAATAAAAAACTCTTTAAATATTTTTTTTTTTGTATTTTTATGTTTGCTCATATCTCGTGGATCTGGTTTTCTAAGATTCAACCACTATAATACTTCAATATGACTCTATCAGTGCTGCTTTAAGCGACATACACTCACGCATAGTCGATATCGCGGCCCAGAATATATTATTCCTTCACAAAAGTAATAAATATTTATTAGCAGTTTAGTTTTTGCCTGAACTATATCCACCCAACACTTAGCCTTCAGGAGCACTGGAAATAAGTTAAGGAAACTAAGATCCTTTTGGAAATGCCACAATTTCTCACCGGGTAAGTGCCTTTACAAGAAGTTTGTAATATTTACGTGAATGTTGGCCCGCTTTTGGTAAGCCGGGTAAGCATGCGTTTATATTGTAAGCCAAAAGCACTTAGAGACTTGACAGTGCAAATTGTCTCAGTTGTCGCTGTTGACAATATTTCATTGCTGACAATTTAAAAATTATTTCAGTGACACAGACGTGTGATAAACGGTGGACATGTGTGTGTAGATAAATATGCAAGAGTAGGAAGAATTTAAGAATTAATTTAAAAAATTTGGAGGCTAAATTTATGTTAAATAATAATACATAAGTACGTACAACTAAATCTACACGAAACCGTAGGATTGCTCTCCACCCTGTCTTATTTATCAGGCAAAGTAGCCCTTATGGCTTATTCCTAAAGAAGAGATAAAGCGGAAGAGAAACGGGGCGTAAAGAGTAATTTTTTTCTTTTTATGGATTTGAGCACTAAATATTTCAAAAGGAAGAGATTAAAGGCGTATGTAAAACATTTTGAATCTTCATCATCATTTAGGCATTATGAGCCTAGTGGGTTGTCGATGATGTCAATTAAAACCATTAGACTTTCCCATGAATTTTTTCTCGTAATCAAACCTAATTCTGCACCTTATTAATTTAAGAAGCAACTTCTATACTGTCAGGTATACTGTTTTTTAGAAAACACTTGTTTATGAGTTTTGCTTATAAGATCGCTCATCACAATTTGTCAGCCCATTCGTTATCTTGAGGTCCAGATTTTCCCGGTACTCACCTCAGCCTCAACTTAAATTCCTTTTCAAAACTTAGCAATGATTTTCCGGGCTTTTGATGCTGCTTGGCTGTCACTGCTGCCTCAGATTTGGTGTTCGCCACCGGTACGAAAAACAAAAAAAAACAATTCTCATTATTTTTGATGCAAGGAACCACCTAGGCTTAGGCACCAGACGCCAACGGGCTGCAGAACTATTTCAGAGTCGTTAGAGACGTCAGTAAAACAAATTTAAGCGATCCCTCAAGAAAGTGGCGAGATCTCTTCATTGTCTTCCATTGACAATCTGCCGTCGTACGTTATTTTAAGGGCAACACTAGGTATAAGCTAGTCATTTGAGGCCATATTCAAGGGAGATTTTGTTCTGGCAATCTTCTAAATTATTATCCATAACCAGTGCTTCGATTGTCGCGACAAAATGCCAAAATAAAACAGTCAACACATTATTTTTCACGCGAAATGTACAGTTATTTTGAAGCCATAGGTTAGACTATGTTTCTACGCTGACTCTAGAACTCAGGTCTTACTAAACGCTCTCCGATACTGTCTGAAAACATTCAGTAATCTCTTTGCCTTCAACTCGAATTGGAGTCTCCACGTGTTTAGCTGAGGGAGAGCGACTGACCGTAGCGATTACGTTATGTAACGTGAGTATGTATGCAGCTGAATGAGCCTTTGTAGTAGTTTACAGGCACACATCAACTCAACTAAGCGCTTCATAATTGCAGCTATAGAGGTGCCACCGCTTTGGGAGTGGAGTGTGAGCGATGTGTCAACCATGGTTGGGAATGTCAGCGACTATTAGTTCAATAAGTTTAGCAAAGAGATATTTGAGAATTGCATAAAAAATGTATATTCCTTTAAGCACGAGCGATTCGTTTTTTAAACACAACTACGTTTACTTAATCGAAAAGAGTAAGTCAATTGATAAATTCCAGCATTATCAAAATTCGAAACCTTCCACAAATAATCGAAAAGAAAAAAATTGTTTAATAACCTAACGAAAAATCGATAATTGTTGAAATAAATTCAGTTTTAAAGGACCGCCCAAATTTCGCAATTTCGACACTGTTCTCAGTTTCAGCTGAAATTCCGATACGATTCTAAATTCGGCCATACAAAATACTGAATTTCAGTGAAATTGAGACGAAATTGCCTCAACTTTGCGAATACAACTCTAAAAATAGCTTATTGTGAATTATAAATAAGCAAAAAGAAGAAATGCTCATCAATAACAAGCAAATGAAAACAGAACAAACAAACCGAGCAAAACAACAACAAACAAATAGACAAACAGTCATCGAAATTGAGATTGAAATTGAGATGGTCGTTTAAACACCTACAATTTCAATTTGGAATTGAGTGTTAAGATTGCGCAATTTCGGCAGCGTGGAAACGCTCATTAAACATTTTTTAGGATTAATCACTTTCCATGATTTCAAAAACATTAGCTAAAGACGAAGCTCCGCTGGAATAAACGATGCCATCAAAGAAAAAACTAAATTCGGCAAGAAAAATTCGACGATTTACAGTAGTCGAAAGAAAAAAATTTTTAAAACTTAATCAAAAAGAAACCCGTTGTTGACTGATCAATCATGTTTTGAAAAATATACCGATTGAAAAAAAAGAGAATGTCATAAATGGGTCTAGAAATCATAGACCCCCAATACTTCAAGAAGAAGCAAATAATAAAAAAAACCCATTGATTCAAGTTCAGATACTTTGCTGGAACAGGCGATGTCAACAGAAAACAAAAAAAATCGGTATGTAAAGAAAAAGTCGATGAATCGACTAAAAATTATCGAAACAAAATTCTTCAGTAAAAAATTGGAAAGAAGTAGTTACTGTTGGTGAAACGAACGATAAAAATGTTTAAATGGCTTTTGGATATATACAAATCGATTCGAAGAGAAAAAATACGGATTATTCGATTAATAATTATCGAAGTAAATTTCATTTTCAAACTAAACCGGAAAGAAAAACATGATTATTTAAGAAAATAACAAGAAATTTTTTTTTATGCAACATGTAAAAACAACATAAATGTACTCGACACTTCCGATTCATTCGTATATACTTATTATACATATTGTTTGTTGACTAAAAAATTAAACATATTTTTTTTTTTTATCTTTTCACTTACCTTCGGGCAGTGGCAGCACGCGCATATTCTCACGTTGCATGGCAGCCGTTGTCGATGTCAGCAGACAACCGAAATTATTTAAGGCGATAATGGCGACAAAACACACCAACACACTTAGCTGACGACAACGTTTGCCAAACGTTTTCCTTGTTGGTAACGTCGTCGTTGGTGTTGTTGCAGCTAATGTGGTATTGTTGTTCTTGCTGTTGTTGTTTTTCGCGCTTATCGCCATGCCTGTTGCGTTAATTCTACGTTTCATCATTGTGCTTGTTGTTACTCTGGTTGTAGCGATGTTATTATTATTGTTGTTAGTGTTGCTGTTGCTGATTTGCCGGCATCGCTTGCCCGTAGGCGGATGCATTGCGGCCACGTGCGGTACGTCCGCGAGGTGATATTATGCGCACGCGCCCGAGACCCGCTACGCAATTTTTGCGAATTTTTCAAGCACAATTCCCGAATTAGTGAGAGGACGATTTGCGGAAGCACACGCGTACAAATCAAAAAAGTAAGTGAATTTAAATCGAAAATGCACGATGTTAGGGTACGCACGCGAATTCAACGAAATTACGCTAACCGACGCAAAACTGACGCGCGTACGATTTTCGTCGACGATACGCGTTTAAATGCTTTATTTGGATGGGTTTGATTTTAAACAGACATTTATGCACTTATTTCTTCTTTGTTTCACGAAAGTGCTACTTTTTTTATAAAATTTTACATATATTTTTATTTTTTTAATTTACACCAATTAAAACTTATTAGCTAAAATTGCACATACACACTGAAAGAAAATTAAAAAAATAATTTACATATTAGATTAAAATGCAGTTTATAAAATTGCATTGATACTACACTTTAAATAGCATGTTTTTCGAATTTTGTAGGCAGTCAGAAAAAAGTGGAAATTATTAAGCATTTCTCGATTACAAATTCGCACAAACTTTTTCTGACAAAATGTCAGCTCGGTTTGGATTAAGTATTCGTATCTATAATGTGAAGTCCGTTTGTTGTGGCAGTGGGAAAAATTTGCAGCGGCATGCTGAAAAGAGAAAGAAAGAAAGACATATTACAAATTTAGAATTTCAATAAATTACAAATTTTCTGTGAAAATAGTTTATAGATTGTATAAAGCTTTTACAAATATGAAAAAATAGAGCCAGCTAATATTTTGCCTACACGTTTTTTTGTATTTAAGTAGTATGGTAACCCTATTTGGAAATTGGACCCACATTCAGTGTTGGCATAAGATAAAGATAAAGATTTATCTTCAAAATGAAAATATTTTTCATAAATAATCAGAAAATTCTTCACAAGAAGATAATTACAACTAAAAATAACTCCATACAAAAAATCTTCACAGTGAAATTATCTGGCAGCACTTGAATTTTTTTTTTTTATAGTTGGCAACAAATTTTTTCCGTTTTTGTCATCAATTTACTGCTGCAAATGCGAAAGTAGGCCAGCTAGAATTCTATTATCAAATATGGATAGGAAGAAATGAAACGTTGAACTGTGCCCACTGCCCACTGTGCCGTGGTTTTTGGTAAAAATTTAAATTTAAATTGCAGGATAGGCAGATATTAATATTGAGTTTTATGAATATGGTACGTTTTGTGAACTAGTCAAATAAAACTGTTATAAATTTTTGAACTGTGTATTTTTTTTTGTATAAAATGTGTTACGGTTTTGTATAAAAAATAACGTAAAATTTAAGTCTTCAATTAAGATATTTGTAGAGAAAAAAGTTTTTTTCCAGTTT